TCCCTTTCTTCCTCTCTGATTCTCCCCTATCTCCCCCTGCATGTTCCTTTTCACTCTCTCGCTCTCATTGAATACATCCTCCTTTATTACTGTCTAACCTCAGTATGCTAACGCTCGGTATATATATTTGATGTAACCACATTAATTAGACAACCAGAAAACACAGCAAACAGACACATTCACAGGAGATGTGAGAGGACGGAAAAGCCACTCAGTGAAAAAACTCCAGGCTGTCATAACATGTTAGGTGCAGAATGCAGCATTAGCGTTTTAATGGAGGGACAAATGTGGTCTATGCCGCCATAATGGGTTTGAAGCAGTGAACCATTATTACAGCAGCCTTGGGATGAAAGTTTTTAGTTATTCAGGCAGTCACTTTCTACAACAAATCATCTTCCAGCCTGTATGTCTCTCCTTCATCTGTCATTTGCTGCCTGCCCCTCTTCACTTTGTCACATCTCTTCTCTCCATCTGTGAAGTTGTTTCTTCATCAAAGGCTGGACAGTCATAACTGCACCAAACAAGATTGTTTTTGGTTAATACTCCCAATAAGTGTCATTCATAGCTAGGAGTCTGTGACAGGTGAGCACAGCCAACTACTTGGTTATAATTTATGTCTCAATTTCCTAAAAAATAAAAAAATAACAGTGCTTGTGCCAAATCAGGAGCTTCCTATGTACAGTACTGCTGGGAAGTGGTTTCTGGGTATTATGGTCTAAGTAAAACCACTGACTGACTAAGGTTTTAGAGCCCACAAAGCAACTGAAGCGTCTTATTTAAGCATCTACTGTAACCTGATTATCACACCTTTGAAAGGAGCAGTAGATGTCTGTGCCTGTTAGCTGAAGCATACTGGTGGCACAAAAAGAAAACTACTGTATATTTGATGTGTAGTTCAGTGAAGCACTGGTACTAGCTCACCAGTACTGGAATTGTGATTTTTGCTTGGTAGTTAGGCATTAAGATCATCTTATATAGGCACCCCACCTCTCGGTGTTCATGTTACTACACTGTATGCTGCTATTCGTATCTGTGTGCATGATTCTCAGTGTATTTGCTCAGTCATTCAGTTGTGCACACATAAATATTGCAATGCACGGTGCCTAGGAACATTAATGCATACAGTGTGAAGGTCATGCATAGCACTAAGTATTCAAACACCATGATTTAAACAAGCACCAACCAAATGAGGCTTTGCTGATTTAATTTGAGAATCAATTAATATTACAATTCATATGATGCTTGTTTCAACGAGTCAGTATTTTCCACTGTGGAAAAAAAAAATCCCTTTGTCATAGGTTCCTACTGCTCACCTATAACAACAGCCAGGGGAATCATTTTTAATGGCTAAGTACAGTTCTATGTAATAATGAGAACAGCCATTGGGGGCATTTTTTGTGTTTCATCTTTAATTTCACAAGCATGTTCAGATCTTTCAAGGGCATCTTTGCCCCCTGCTTCTATCTCCGTTATGTTTCTCTTATCATTTCATGCCCTCTCAGATACAGTGTTAATTGTCCAGTGACGTTAAACTGTAATCAAGACTGTTTTTGTCAACCTTTGCTTTTATTGTACATTTGCATATGAGTTCATTTTGATCTTCATGATTTCTGTCACCAGGAATATATTTCAATACCACCCCATACAGTGCTGATTTTGCTTCATTGTATTTCATAAAAAATGCATAAGGACACTAGGGCGATAACATTTTAAAACTGCTGTAGCAAATCCTGACAGCTCCCAGGGCCACATCTGGTTCATCACAGCCACCAGGCCTCCTGCCAGATTCCCAGCTCAAGCACAAGGGCTCAGGTTGGGCTTGTGACAGCATATCGGCCCCAGGGGTGGCTCTACCCTTTCTAAAGCCCTAAGCAGAATTTGTCTGTTATCCCGCTATGGAGTAAAGCTCAATTCAATGCAACACTTCCACCTTAACATCTGTGTTTATGAAGCTCAAAACAGTTCAGTTTTTGGTGAAATAGTCATAAATGTATAAATTCAGCTATGTGTCCATTATTGAGGTCTTAGTTAAAGGTGGTGTTGTACTGGACTGCATTATATTTATTTAGTTTTCCTCTTCAGTTAAAGAGATAGTACCATGCTCTAGAGCATGTTGTCTTACTGTAGGTCATGTTGCAGAGTCAGCTGTGTTTTGATACCGTGCTACACGCATGGTGAGTTGCACAATGATGGACCAAGTATAAATGTAGTGCAGTGCCAGGACAGGAGGCTACATTACCGCTTTCACTGGCTGATTATTCACTTGCGCTGCTGCTACAGCTAAAATTCTTATTCCTACCTAAAAGTCCTGAACTGCTACACTGACAACACATATAGCTGCTGACTAGTGAACTTTTTTTTTTTTAATGTCACTTCTTTTTTTTGTTTGCTTTTGGAAGGGTGCTGCTGGTGATGGAACTGTGTCACAAAAATGCCCTGAACTACTGTTGTTCAGTGGCCTCTGCCAATCTCATGCACAGTGAACATTCATGATAGAGCGGTAGGGTCATCCTTGAATCAGTGATGTCGACTTATTTTATGCATATTTGGCATATTATAAAAAATAGGAGTGTGTGAGGCAATAAGCAGTCACTTGTAGGAAGTGGCAGCTCTGCCATCCTCGATGTGCAACTCCACTTTGTCAGCATAAGATCTACTGAGCTTTCATGCAAACGTACAACCTGTTTCTGTGAACACCAGTGTGACATAATGAGACACTTCTTTGGATCACATTGTTCCTTTAATCTGCCACTAGTACTATAACGTTTGCCTGGTATTGTTAGTAATATTCTTCATCTACAAACATACTGTTTATGCAAAGCCTGTGTCTTTAACTGGCTAAGTTTTTACAAGAGATACTTAGTGTCTGCTACGACTGATGGCAGAGCAGGATGCAAGTGATCTGATTAATTAGGGTGTTTGTACTGTAGGGATCTGTCATCCGAAGCAAAGGTGAACACAGCTGATTCACAGCTCAGTTGGTAAGCTGATCTGAAAGTGGTTTAAATGTGAGACACTTGACCTGGGTATCTAGCTCACTGTGTGGGAGCGGCAGAGGAGACTTTAACTACATTACATTGGCTAAATCTGGTCTCCACTGAAATAACCCATAATATTGTGACTTTCTGACAGAAGACTATTTTTTTTATTCTTCCATTTTTAGACATGCCAACAAACTGACAGTGGAGTAGCGAATGTGCGCTTTGTACATTTTCACAGTGTGTTATATTTTTGAGGGTAACCACTGTGCTGTATTAAAACAAAGGCAGAATTTCAGTAGTCGTTACCATTCCGTAGCTCCTTTCTAATAATGTACAATACAAT